ATCGAGAATGAAGAGTCAGTGATAACTAAGAAAGTTTGAGCTTCAAAACTGCTAGGATGGTACGGTCAGTGATGAAAGTAGCTCTAGTTAAGGGAAACAAAAGATGAAAGAAGCAAAATCTCAGGAGAAAGGATACTTTCTTAGACATTTTATTAATTATTTTTTATTTTCTTAGACATTTTGAATTTAAGAAATCACCTTCTGGTAAAGTTTCAGTCATCAGTATGAATGGAATTAGGCAAAAGGACAAGTCTAGAAAGGAAATTTTGGGGATTGTTTATTAGGAAGAAGCTACAGCCAGGACTATATGATTGTACTCATTTAAAGGAGGCTGCTGAAATAAAAACTTCTGGAAATTATGGTGTGTGAAGGCTCTGCAGAAAAGTGTGGCACAGTTTTCTAACTACTTCCCCTTCTCCCTTAGCAAGAGATAATTTTGTTTGGAGAAACCATTTATCCAGCTAAGAAAGCTGTACTTTCTTACCTTTCTTGCAGAAGGGATAGCCAAAGAGCTATAAATATAAGTCTTGAAAGTGCCTATTCTGGGTAAGCTTTTTGAAGAGAAATAGATTAGGTGGGAGACAGGTGGTTTTATTCTTCTCCTATTTTAAGTATGGAAATCCATGATAACTAGAGCTATATTAGCAATTCTGCAAAAAAGAAGTAAAGTTAAAAAGCTTAGAACATTGATGACATGAAGCCATCGTATCAGCCCTGGCCTGCCTGAACACTCCTAACTCAATGTTTCCTCAATTTTCTTCTTTATGGCATACATAGTAAATGAAAAATACATTGTGGGTACAGCTGCTTGTTTTGGGAAAAGGGAACAGGGCACCAACTGCCACAGGTTCCAACCAGAGGCCAATAGGTCACAATGACAGTGGCAGAGGTAGGGAGGTTTTCTGATTTTCACTCTAGTGCTTCTTCTGCTATACTACAAATTCTTCCAGAAAGCATATTTGCAAAAGTAAAATATGCCATTATTGAGAGCTTTCATTTAGTATTGTTGCTTATAAAAAAAAAAAAAAAAGATAGAGAGAATCCATAGTATAACTCCTGGAGTTGTTTATCTAAAGTCAGTCTTGTGATTTTTTTAAAAGATTTATTTATTTGTGCATTCAGAACTGGGGTACAGGCCAGAGGCTCAGGGGCGGTGAGAGGCTTCACCAGAGACAGAGTGGGGAGCAGAACAGGCAGATGGACGAAGTACACTGCTGAGGGGAGCAGCGGGAGGTCAGGAGAGGTCTGCCACTTCATGTGGTCACCTCCGGGGCAGGTGGGAATCGGGGCAGGTGGGAATCGAACTCATGCGGAAGTGGTTTTAGCTTCTCAGTGCAGTGCTTTAACCCCTGCGCCACCAGGGAGGGCCAAGTCTTGTGTTTTTTTTAAAACACCAAAAACCACTAAGAAATTTTTGTTCAGCAGAAGTATGTGGTATAACTTAAGGTTTCTTATACGTTGTTTCTAGGACCCTTTGTTAAGATTTTGTCTTGTGAACTAGGAGTAGTATACTTGGAACCTAATATTTTGATTTTAAGTGAGATGGGGGAAAAAAATGAAATCAGGTAGAATCAGACTTCTGAATAAGTGCTAAAGATTAACTCTCAAAAAAGCTGATGAAAACATTTCAGGTTACTTTCAGGTCTTCTTAATAGTCCTAACGTTGAGCCTAGTAAAGGAGGATCTTTGCAGTACTGGCTGAATTAAGAACAACTTAAAAAGAGAGTGGCTCTGCAGGAATTTAAGATGTCTCCAACACAAAGTTTACAGTGAGAGATATGGCAGAAAGAAGCAATGCTACAAGACATGCAAGTAAAGAAAGCAGGAAGAATTAAGGCCATAACCCCTACACCTGTTCTCAGCATGGTAGTTCAGTTTTACAGAGATCTCAAGGCTTCCGTTCTTCTCAGAGGCCAACAGTCACAGCTTCTTGCTAAACTGTAGGGGTTTTTCCATTTGAAGATAGTAGTTTGCTGGGCAAAGAGAAAGCTAGAAGTGAAGCAGGGAGCAGACAAAAGGCCTAGATGGCAGATGAATTTTTTTAAGTATAGTAAATAGTTCTTATTATTAACTTGAGAATAACTCAATATACTAGATATTCTGGATCTGCACATGATGATCTTTTTGCATGACTTCCTGATACCTAAAGATGAAAGGGAATATGACACCAGCTCTGATCCCAATTCAAAACTTGGGATGACATGTTGCTTACGTGAAAACCCTCTGGAATAGCCAGAAAGGAAAGTAACTGCAGAATAATTCTTTTTCCTATAGAATGCAAGTAAAACAAAGAAGAAAGGTGCTGAATTCTGGAATATAGTATCATCGGTATTAAAAGTATGAGAACTAAAAATCCTACACATTTAAAAAAATGAGAGTGATCTCAAATATAGTGAAAGTAGTATTCTCAGTTTCAGAGAAGGTATGGAATTTTGACATAGTTCCTAAATTCAAACAATATTATAATGTCTGTTAGATAATAACATTGTGCCAGAAATGATTACATATAGGCAAGCATTCATTCAAGTGCTTTTGAGGTACCTGGTGTTCAGAGTTATGAATAGAATGGTATACAAAATAGAGCCCTTAACTTCAAAGAACTTCTAAAACAGTGGAAGAAATACATATTAATAAAAAAATAAAATTATATAGATACAAAACTGTAAATTGTGACGAGTACTGTGAAAAGTACAGGTATATTTAAAAAAGAAAATCAGGGACAGTCACTTATAATTTCCAGATTGTATATTGTTTACATATATCCAGAGTCAACCTCTTCACTGTCTCTACATCAGTTTCTAACACAAAAGGTTTCCCTTTTTTGCATGATGGTTTCATGCAGACAGTAAACCTCATCAGCAATGTTACTCTATTGATGCTGATGAGAAAGCCAGGAACAAGCATTCTTAGCCTGTATCATATCAGTAGTTATTGCACTTTTAAATAAATACTGAATTATAGCAAATATTCGAATATTAGAATGAAACACCTGAATTTCCACAAGCTGACTGATAAAATAGCTTATGATAATCAGAGATAATTAGCTTTGCTCCTTTGGGCCCCTAGATTCCTCAGAATGGAGATGCTTTGACAGTCTGGTTACTGATGCAGAGACCTGATGGGACTCTGAGGCCCGTCTCCGTAAGCACACAACGAGGACTTGGATTCATTTCAAAAAGATTGTATGTGTTGAAATCAAATTGCTACAGATGGCACCAAGGGATCTGAAATACCTGGTGAAGTCCCAACTGCACTCCGTCTTTTTTAGGTTTACGAACTTTTAAAACAAAAGAGATACTGTTCTCAGGGGCAAATGGAATATACAAGACACTGGCCGGCAGACTTGGGCAGCAGCACCCTACAGTGAGCCAACTGCTTAGTGGAAGCCTCAAAACAAGACCATGTGGACATTTCCCTATTGCCTTGGCCTAGAAAATCTGTACTAAGTGACAGATGCATGAAGTGTGGCTGGGCAACCAGTGGAAAGGAGCTGGCTGCAACTCCAGGTGTTAAAAATAAGGCAAGGGTTGCATTTTCAATGAGCCAACACTAAGTCAATTTAACAGCGACTATTTTCCGGCCCACATTAAAAAAACTGGCAACAACAAATGCTGGCAAGGATGTGGAGAAAACGGAACCCTCTTACACTGCTGGTGGGAATGCAAACTGGTCCAACCACTATGAAAAGCTGTGTGGAGATCCTCAAATTACTAAAAGTGGAGCCACCATATGACCCAGCGATTCCATTCCTAAGAATCTACCCAAAGGACACAAAAACATCAATTTGAAAGGAAACCTGTACTCCTATGTGCAATGCAACAATATTTACAATAGCAAAGATATGGAAACAACCTAAATACCCTAAAACAGATGAATGGATCAAGAAGATGTGGTATATAATACACAATCAAAAAAGATAAACTCATGCCATTTGCAGCAATATGGATGGAACTGGAAGGGATTATGCTCAGTGAAATAAGTCAGAAGGAAAAAGAAAAATATCAGATGGTTTCACTTATAGGAGGAATACAGGGAAACCAAATAAAAGGTCAAAAAAAAAAAAAGAGAGAGAGAGAGACAAGATTTGTAGGCTGGGACATACAGCAGGGGAGGGGAAGAAGTAAGGTGAAATCAAAGGAGGGAAGAGCACAAGGGACTATGATGACAGTTCAAGGGTGATGTGGTGGTGGGAAATTCATGGGGACTACAACCCCAGAGGAGAAATCAAATACTGTACAAAAATGAACAATGTAAGAAAATTTAAAAGTTAAAAAAAATTAAAAACAGGACAAAACAAACAAAAAACCGTCGACTATTTTACATTTCCTTGACTCCCACACTGCCCTTTTATTACTTTTTCTCTTCAAGCTTGACCCAGAAGTTCATTAATATTTTAATTTTCCTAAATAAAAGAATAGGAGGGCCCTCTCTGGTGGTGTAAGGAGTTAAAGTGCAGCACTATGAAGCTGTCCACAGCCACTGCAGCATGAGTTCAATCCCCGGCAAGGGAGCTGACCCACAGGCCATGCACATCGCTCCTGACCCGCCTGCTGTTACTCTCAGTGGTGTATGTCAGTTTATCTACTTGTTCTGCTCCCCACTCTCTCTGGTGAATCCTCTTACCCCCACACCTCTGGCCTGTACCGCAGTTCATGTATGCATAAATAAATAAATCTTCCAAAAAAAAAAAGGGATATGGAAAGTATAGACAGAGCTTGATTTACCTGGCCGCACCTATAAAATGACTGCTTATGAACCAGGCTACCACTGCTGAATAGCTATGAGGGGGGATAAATTATCTAAAAGATTGGTATTGGAAATTCCTAGAAGCTGAGAGATTTTGCTAAAACGTTCACTATAACCCTCTGCATAGGTATCATCAGCAGACCAGAGTTACTCAAGACTCTAAATACTCAGTATTATTTGTAACAGTGTGACCCTGTTGGGCTCTTCTAAAAACGCACATTGAGAAAGGATGGAAAAACCACACCAGCACTTACCATCTTCTGTTTCCTGCCACACGATGCCCTCAAGATTGACACTTGTTCCAGGTTCACAGGGGCCCAGGCACTCAGGCTCTGTGGCTAAAGCCACATCGCATGTATTGACTCCGACTGATCGAGTACGAACCATGATCTGCTCACAGGGGGATGAGATGTCATTACTGACCACTGGCACTAAAAGGTGCAGTGGCAGCACCGCTGGTGTAGAGACAGGAGACTCCATCTGTCGGAGAAGAGAAAGTTGTTGCTGAGTTGCAGGGAGAATATTTAGAGGTTAACACCTATGCATTTAACCTAGTCCTAAAACCTTTCTTACCAGAGTACAGAGGGCTCTAAAAGAAAAGACTAAGGTCCATCCTTTCAAGTCTAGCTTATGATAACCACAAACCTAGTGGCTTACATATGTGCACCGTGTGCGAGGAGAAGCTTTATTTCTTATTAATGATTTTTCTTATAAACTGAGCTTGGATAAAACTGTATCCAAATTTGTGCCAGATTTCAAAAGAGCACACAGACTGGTAAGAAAGAAATGGCCAGACTTCTACTACCGTCACTGCTATGATTCCCACCAATCTATCACTCAACAAGTAATATATTACACATAGATATAAAATTTAAGAAAAAAAGGTGGTAATAAAAGGGGAAAGAAATTCCCAGTTGCTAGAAATGCTACTTCAAGAAAATTAGAACTTTATCTTTAGCTACCAGGAAATCTACATAAAGGTTATAAAAGGGCTGGGAGCAAAGTGATGGGGGTTTCTAATCCTGAGAGATTATAACAGTGATTGGTTAATGAGAATGACATTTTGGAGTGTGAATCTGACATCAAATGCATCTGTAAGAAACATGTGCTTTTACTAATCAGAAGCCAATCCATAGCAGACTGCAGATAGTTATCCCACAAAGACAGAAATAGTCGAACACTAGAACCGGCAGTCTACTTCCAAAACTAGGACCTCCAAAACTACAATGTAACTACCTTAGATGCCAAGACTTATGTAACACATCAAGAGTTAGAAGTGGTAATAAAGTGATAAAAAATAAAAATCCTTTAACTCTTTAAATCTTGACAACAGGTTGACAAAGTACCAACTCTGTGAATCTATTATTCCAGATTCTAACACAGTTTGTATATCTGTGGTCAATACAATGATTGATCTTCCCTGAAGATTAACTACGATACCAATCAAAAACCTAGAATTTTTAGTTCAGGTTGAATGTACTCTTTCAACAAACTAAAATCAATAGCACCCACACATGTATCCATAATCCAAGCTTCTGGAATAGTTTATGGCAAGACTATCACTCTACCTATAATCTGCCTACTTCTTCCCTAAGACATACATGTGCATGCGTGCACACACACGAACACAACCTTCCAGCTTTGAATACTACTCTAGAAGCTGAGATCTAGGTATTGCTTCCATTCCCTTCAGCTAGTTCTGACTTCTTGGTTTAGAAAGTCATTGCTGTTTGCAGATCATCATTTTCAAGAGTTCAAAGTATGTTTTATATACCACAGTTTTCATAAAATTTAATCAAAGAGAAACAATGTATCTGGAATTCTATCAGGACTTTTTTTTTTTTTTACTCTCTTCTAATGTTTGAAGATCAAGCATTTGTAATTTAATCAGGAAACCTCAGAATACAAAAGAACCTTGCATGATTCTATAAAATTTCTATCAAATACTTGAAGATGTTAAAAGCAATACAGAAAGTAAATGATACTTTCTATTTCTACTAATATGTCTACAACTATGACTACCACCATGTAGTGGTAGGAATCTGGCTGTTATCACTAAACCCTTTGAAGAATGCTCTAAGAAATTGGCTCATAACTCTTTGAAAAGAAAGATAAAAGATTCCTGGATATTTTACCCTTGATAGTTACTAGAAAGGGAAAATTAAAGGCAAAAGAATATGGATCATCTGGGTTTTTTTTATGAATAATATAATAGCTTATTTTTACATCATTTTGTGGATTTTTCCATCTCAGTTGTAATCCCCTTGGGCTTCCCATCACCAAATGGATCATCTACCTTTACCCTTTACCTTACTTCTATTTCTCTGTTCTTAGGGAAGAATTGAAACACAGCAATTTCATAATTAGAGGTACATTCCTTTTCTGTACTTTTCTTCTACTAGCAGGAGAAATTCCTGCAAAGCCCTCTTTGTTAGATAAAGATTATCTTAATCTTCTAGAGAGGGGTCTCCCTGGTGTCGCAACAGGTTAAAGCACAGTACTACGAAGCTGCTCCCCTCAGGGATTTATTTCAGTAGATTTGCCTGTTCTGCTCCCCACTCTGTCTTAGGTGAACCCCCACCCCCACCCCACACACACACCTCTGGCCTGTACTCCAGTTCTATATGCATAAATTTTAAAAAATTAAAAAAAATCTTCTAGACAGACTCTCCCTGGTGGCACAGTGTGTTAAAGTACCATATGCAAAGCTAGCCACAGCTGCCTCTTCATCACAAGCTAGACCCACATGGTGCAGCAGACCTCTTCTATCTCGCCCACTGCTCCCTTCAGCAGTGTACTTCAGCTTCCTGCTCTATCTCTGGTTAATCCTCTCACAGCCCCTGCACCTCTGTCCTGTATGCATAAATAAATAAATCTTTCTACACACTCACTCACTCTCTCCCTTTCTCTTCCTACTCTCACCCCCACCCCACCCCTTTTCTTTCTTTTTCCTTCCCATCAAGGAAGGATAGCTCTTTTCTGAAAGTTGTTTCATTTCTGTTTAGGTTATTCAATTCTTCTAGCTATTCCCCTAATTACGTACTGATGGATCTAGGTTGGAAACACCACTGCTGCATTTCAGGTAGTTTGCCAAATTAAACTTTGCTACAGAACTGAAAAGGAAGAGAATAAACACAATTAGCTGGACTGAAGACTAGAATAACAAAATTGACAAATGAGGAACTGTTTAACATATGTACCAAACCACCCTTACTGGTCAAAGTCATTAAATAAGAGTTCATGATATGGGCCCTCCCTCCCTAGTGTCACAATAGTTTAAGAAGCAGCAGCACTAGGAAGCTATCCACAGCCTCTGCAGCATCAATTCAATCCCTGGCCAGGGAGGTGACCCACATGGCAGGGCAAACCTCTCCTATCCTGCCTGCTGCTCCTTCAGCAGTAGCAATCAATCTGCCAGTTCTGTACCCACTTCTGTCTCTAGTGAATCCTCTTACTCCCCACCCCTCCAGATTGCACTCCAGTTCTTGTATGCATAAATAAATAAATCTTTAAAAAAAGTTCATGATCTATGTTAGCATAATGATGATGTATTTTTTAAGCAATTAAGAGAGATTTGGTGGGGTCGGAAGAAGAGAAATCACCTATCGTTTTAGAACTATTCAGTTCCTTCTACACTGCAACAGAAATTTAAGGAGAAATCATAGAGCAGCACACTAATGTTTAATTACAGCTTCGACTCTGCTAATTACCGTTTGGTCATATCTATAATCTATGTTAAGCCATAGTGCATAGTAAGTAGCTCTGTGATATTCATCTAATAACCTAGGTGTTTTTTATGAGATTTCATATTTTACTGCTCAACTAAACAAACAGTTTCATTTATCACTCTCCAGGAGAAGCTAAAAATCAGAAAAGGACTCATTTTGCCAACTTTCCCAACAAGAGCAGTGATTGTCAGACGACTGGTACCAGTAGGGAAAATAAGGAATATAAAAAGTTTGGATCATTAAATACCTCATTAACTATAATAACAACAATAAAAGCTGGACCAATTCTCATTCTAAAATACTAAGAAGTGCTACAGTGAGCCCATGGGGCTCAGCTGAATGGAGAAGTAAATAACTACAAAACAAAACAAAAATCTGAAAGGAGATTTACAGAGAAATTAAAAATGGAAGTCTCTTAAGTTTTCCAGTAGTTCATGTCCTTTATCTTTTATGATACTTCTTTTCAATACACCTTTAGCTATTAGTCTAACAGCACCAATTAGGGATCTGAGTGCTGATAGGCAGGTGACATAGAAATGAGGACCGAGAGAATACAGAAAGGCCAGAGCCATTAATCTCCCTGCAAGAAATAATTATACACTGACTTCAGCTGCCTCCCACACATAAGAGGTGTTGATGGAGGGGAAATGAACTGAAAAAAATCTTTGGGAGAGCTCCTCCCCTCTGCCCTTTACAAAAATGAGTTTGATATCTACACATTCACAGTCAAAAACAGGAAAGCTGGTAGCTCCAAGAAACTCCCTTTTATTCAAGACTGAAAAATAACTGTTAGATGAATGTTGGAATTTATTCAGAACATCAAGTAAAATTGTGTAGAAACAATATAAGATATACAGAATATTGTATTAATAAGAAGTTCTCCTTCTTCAACAATTCTAAAGGTTCTTCAGGATTTTACAGTCACTTAGCACAGGCAATACTAACTGCAATATAAGTGAACAAGGTATAGAAATTGGACTAACATAGAAGTATTCCCCATACCTATGTATAATATAAAACTGAACTGTGTTTTTCTTTCTTTTTAATAACTAAGAATTATCTTTGCTTATTCTGGAAGATAAGTGATTCCTCCTTTTGAGAATCTGGTGGGTAGAAATCTTGGAATAAGGATGTTGAGGTTAGGTTTGAGGACTGAGGGAAAAACATGAATTGCTCTTTTTCACAAAGCTCCTATGAGAATATAGTAGAATATTCCAAGTAAGTCCCCAAACAGCACATTTAAGTATGTCGTCGGGGAGGAAATCAATACCTTTTCAAACACTAAATATTCTCTGTTCAAGGTTAAAAAAAAAAGAGGTTGCTGGTTTACTGAGTTTAAGATTACATTTAGGTTGCTTTGAAAAAGAATTAGATTGCAAATCTGGTTAATTTTTAAGATATCTTGTAACAGAAGACAAGGAGGAAAAAGAAAAACACAGTAGCTGGCACCATAACCAGATATCAATAGTTCTTGGAAACAAAATGTTCTATTATTCACAGGAGACTAACTTTAGCACTCAATTTTAACCAAAGAGCACCTGGTCAAGGTCAACAGCAAAGGCTATCCCAATATATACTAGTAAATATACTAGTATATACTAGTGCAGTACAAATACAATTTGAAGACTTCAGACTCATTAGAAAGAATTCTGCAATGATCCCTCTACAGTCTCAGATTCAGGACCTAAAGATCTCTTCTGATAAAGAGATTGCAGATTGAATAGTCCTAACATTCAAATATTTCAAAATTTC